TCTTGTTTATGTCCGGTATATCTCTTATCTGAATATACTGTAGTTAAAGCGGCAGCGAATAGAATGAATGTTTCTTGAATGGATATTAATATATTTTTCAAAAATGAAGGAATCGAAGTATGTAGGAATTTGTGAACATTGCATAATAAATGAAGCTTATACAATTTTGCAACATTTAACCAGTTTAGCTGTTCGAAACATGAACTAATATGATCATATTTTCTTAAGTTGAAAATCAGTCTACAACATGAATTTTGAATTTTTTGTACACGTTTAGCTGAAACTGAATCTAGAAATGTATAGTTTACTAAATCACAATATGTGATTTTTGATCTTAAGAAGGATTTACATAATTTTTTTTTATCTAAAATCAAGTTTTTATTTAAGTACAAATGCCGTAAAACTGTAAAGCATTTTTTACTTACATGAGAAATAAATTAAGTTTTTAACCGATTCCTGTACCTGAATAGCATATCCGTTTAGAGTAATTTTCAAATTATTTTCAATAAGGGACCTTAGATATTTAGTAGAAAAAATAATAACTTTGGATTTAGAAGGATTCAACCGGATACTTTGTTCTGTTGCATAATTTTCAATAGAATTTAGGTCCTCTATTATTTGTGCTTCAAAAATTTCTAAATTTTCATGATTGAAGCTATGTTATAAATGTGAGTCGTCAGCAAACACCTGAATACCACAAATATTCTCAACCCTATTTATATCTGCTATATACAAAATAAAGAGAAGTGGTCCAAGGATTGATCCTTGAGGCACTCCTTAGGAAATCAGACGTGCTGTAGAAAATTCTGAATCAACGACTGCCTTTTGCATTTAGCAATCAAAAGAGAGTGATTATTGTATCGAACGATTTTGTAAAGTCCAAGAGAACTGTTGCAACTAAATGGTGATCCCACGCTCTGACGATATTATCAGTAAGATCGCGGAGAGCACTTGCCGTATCCACACTGTTTTTCCAGTAGAATGCCATGTTCTAAAATATAGTCATTTATTTGAATCTACTTACCCCTTTCCAATAATTTTTAAAAAGTAAGTAAAATACTTATGGGCCGTCAGTCTGTATATGAGTTTGAGAATGTGTAAAGAGATTGCGGGTAACATAATTTTACCATTCTGAGAGATACACCATCAGTTCCCAACGCATTCAACAAATGTAATAATGAAGATGGATCTGAAAAATGTATCGGCTTAAAACTAAACTTATGATCTGAATAGCGATGTTTACCATAGTATTGAATTTTTTCTTTGCAGGTGTGAGTATTTTTATCAAAAACTGAACAAATGTATTCCTGTTGGATGTTTTAAATGTAAAGGGATTCCATCATTTTGCAATCGCATTGGTTTCAATGCTTTGTAAAAGGCAGTCGAGTCGTTTTGATTATAAATAAATGATAAATAAGCTCGTTTTTCAGTTCTAATTTTAGCTAGTGTTGCATTACGCAATTTTTTATATTCATTCCAGGATTCTTCAGTTTTGTTAATTTTGAACTCGGTTAGAGCTTTATTCTTTTTTTTTTCATCATAAGCTTAAGATCTGAAGTTAACCAAGAGGCAGCCGGTTTCGAGTTGCTTGGAATGAGATGCCACAACCAGACATACAGTATATTCAGATAAGAGATAGACCGGACATAAACAAGACCACGTGATCATCGAACGCTGTAACATTCGGCAGGGACGTATTAAGAGTCACGCAGTACATATTTTAGATAGTAGATGCTGCTTTGCGTAACTTTGTAGTAAATTGGCACAATTCGATGTGTATACGATTGGTGATGGATATAGGATCATGTGGGGGTGGGGTAAGAAATATATAATGATGTAAATATACATAAGGGTTTCAAAATTTTCGCTTCGATTTCCAGCTTCGGATGCCGCCTGATGTTTGGTGAAATACAGTCGAATATAATCTCAAAATGGCGTTTAAATTAGCCTTAATTAAAAATAATCGTATATCTCTTAAAATTGCTTTCAGAATATTGATTAGTATATTTTTTGATTTCTAGGTAAATATGTAACCAAATTAAAACGTTCAAAACGTAAAAAAATGTGCATGGTTGAACATTGTCAGAAAGTAGATTCTTGAATAGGTTTTGCCAAAATGGGTTCAAAAATGTCAATAATTAATTAAAAAATACAGTAGCTTTATAATTACTTATAACTTACCGAATTTGATGAACGACATCTTTTATTGGAAAGATGAGCTTGATGAGCTTTCATCATCGCTACTGCCTGAAGCACCAACGTCAATAATGAATGGCTCGACTTGTTCCTCTAAAATATTGTCCAGTTCCCACATTCTCTTTTCAACTTTGTCTTTCACGTGCTTAATACAGTTTTCCCATTTTTGCGCTGTTATTAATTCTAGTGCTTCTTTGAAAAGTCCTTTGAGGTCACAAAATTTAAAAGTTGTATTGTGCTTAGCTATATAATTTTTAACCTCTGCCCATATGAGCTCAATGGGATTGAGCTCGCAATGGTATGGAGGTAAACGGAGCACAGTTTTATTTTGACTTGCTGCCATTTCGTCAATGGCGTATTTTTGATATTCCGCCTTGTGATCCTTGACAATTCTTAATAATTGTACTTTCAGCATTGCTTCTTCAAAGTTGATATTTTTCAAGCGGAGCCAATTTTGAACATCAACTTTCCTTGAAGCCGTTGTTGGGACCTTCTCCATTCTTCGAGAATGATAAGGCGCATTATCCAACACAATTACTGCGTTTTCCTCTAAGTTCGGTAAAATTTTTGAAAACCACTGTTCAAACGATTCGCCATTCATTTCCTCGTGGTAATCTCCAGTTTTCTTAGACTCAAAGCACCACAGACCGTCAACAACAAATCCATCCTCACTGCCAATATGGCAGATAATGAACCTTTTCCCTTTACCTGGAAATCGAAGTACTAACTGGTGTAGATTTATTTCAATAAGCGCACCTTTTTCAAATGTTTTCATCACATTCAGCGAAAAAACATTGAGACATGAGTATCAGATTGCTATAATTGGGATTATTTAGTCATATTGAAAGAAAGAATATTGAACGTCGTATGATTACTCAGCGCTTCACAATTTAATTTAAAGTTATAAACCTTTAAAAAATGAATGATCAGGAACCTGAAATACGCGCAAATATTAATATTAACAAATTATAACTTAAAGCTTAAAGTATGAATTAAAATGATAAGAAATATTAGGAACGGTACACAATATAAAACTTAGTAACTTTTTTTAAGTTTATAATATTCGACATATTTTAAGATTATATTAAAAAATTATTGAAATATCGAAAACACATAAAAACATGGCTTAAAAAAGTTCTAACAAATGAAAATGACGATAAAACATCCACGCATTTTATCGAAAGTTATAAAAGTTTTGTTACTTGTAATATGTTTTATCTGCCCCCTGAAATTAATGATTAGAACCTTGTTCCCAAGGTTTGAAAAACATCCGATTGTTGTCTATTACTCGTATTTACCTGCTGGATTTTTTAATCCGGTGGACAGTCCATCTAGAAAGGCCCTCCTGGATGTTACAGAATCATCAACCCATACTTTACTTGTAGTGTGTCCTGCGTTTACCCACGTTTCATCAAGGTAATAAATCTTCCTGTTTTGATTTCTATATTTCCCAATTTTTGTTAAATAATCCCTCCTCCATAGCACAATTTCTTCTCTATCCAGTAGTAAACTACTTACTTAATTACGACCCCGTTTTTTCCATTTGAAATTTAAATGCTTCAGTAACGCATGGAAAGTTGATCGTTTGAAATTTGGCAACGTTGTATCTCCATTTACCTCCTGCAGTACTTTATCTATACTAGGTATTTCATTCCTAAAGAAGAATTCATGCACTTTCCTCCTAATCGCATGCTTATCAGCTTCATCCAATGATTTAACAATACTTTTGCGATGTTTACTGGTCATTGGCTCAGAAAAGGTGTGATTTTTTTTGTATTGTCTTAACACATTAAACACTGATGCGCGACACACCCCAACTTTGTGAGAAACCTTCACAACAATTTCTTTGATGGTTGATGCCTCGTTCTCCTCGCGCTCGATCTTATATATATTCAAAATGACCTCTTTCATTTCTGCACTCAGGTGTCTTTTTTAGAGCGTTTCCTAGGTGGACTACAGGAGTTTACAACTTCATCGGCAGTATCTGTACTACTGGGCATTTTGCGCAAGCAGTTGATAACAATAACAATCAATAACAAGGTATAACAATAACAACGAAAAACTCAACAACTTAATAAGATAACAAACGAAAACGTCCAAAGAAATATCAAATTGCAATGATGCACACGACATACGTAACACGTCTGAACCTGAATGTGACTCTGCCTTGATACGACTGCTCTGCCGCTCGGCATAGGCATTTAATTGCGAATTGACTAATGAGGGCTCCTGTTTTACGTCGAGACGGCGGCGTTAGCGTGAAAATCACCCGAACCTTTTGTTTACATCCGGTCTATCTCTTATCTGAATATACTGTAGATCATCTCGGTTTGGCGATGCCTAGACGTCTACAGGAGTGTATTCAGCTGCGGGGTCGCATTTTTTTTTATTACTTGTCAATAAAGTTCCATGAGAATGTTATCGTTTCATTCTTGATGTAAGACGGTATCATTGCCAAAAAATCAAGTTGAAGAAATAATTTTTTTTAACACTTCTAATGAGTATATGACATTTGAAGGGTCATTTTATATTCACCAGTACCATTTCGTTGTATTAATAATAAAAACAAACGATTTTGTAGTAAAAAGACAAAGTATTGAAATGAACGAAACCCAGGTCCCACCCTGAATATAGTACGTACGCCTTTCAGAAATAAATATTGCTATCAAATGCTACAACATAAGCTGCATACAGTAAATCTATGCCAATAATCTTGTCGAACTATCAGAGTACACATAACCGATTTGATTTAGAATATTTGCATAAAATTATTTGTGTTGATGTTAGTTTGTGTTTCCTTCTAGGTGGAAGAAATGGACGCCCTAAAAGTGAGCGAGGTACAGTTACTCCACTATTGTCGCGAATCTGCAGATAAACATCACGTCGGCGATTATGACCTTCTGTGGGCTGAAGTTGCCTCTCCAATTTATAGAAGAGGCGAGTCGTTTCACATGGGAATCAAGTTTGATAGACCCTACGATCCTGCAAAGGATGCTATCAGAATCAAACTTGACTTCGGTGAGTATATTTGAAGATCCCTATAGAGGTTGTTCCAAAATTTACACATGATTTGAAGCAAACTGAAAACACAGTTTTTTTTAGCTTGTTATTTTTGATTGAATCATAAAGTATACAGGACAGGACTCCCTATGTATTTGTAGCAAATAACAATATTGACTTTGCTGGTACGAGCACGGCCTTTTGTCCGAATTTTCCACTACCATTTTGCATAAATGTGAGAAAGAGATGCACTGGAAGCATCAGTTTATTATTTTGATTCTGATCCAGGATGTCATGACATGGCACACTAGATTTTATTAAATACATACTCTATTGTATACGAAACAGCCGCTATAGTATTGCAATAGGTATCTGATAATTCATACCTTAGTGAATCTAAATAAGGTAAATAGGGAGGAAACACGGTATTTTATATTAGAAAGTCAACTGAGTTAAAATATGACTGATAATTGGAGAAAGAACGTCTTTCGTTATCGCACGATAGATACGCTTCCTAGTGGTTATCAAGAAGTAAAATACACTGATCAACAGCCAAAAAATATCCTAAATAAAATCAACTAAATATTACTATTTTTAATGTGCTAAAACCGGAATGAAACTTATTTTTTCAATATTAGTTCAAGTTTTAGAGATACGGTAATTATATGTGTTCCTGCTGTGACAGTGTTAATATACTGTATTCACAAGAATGCACGTCTACATTTTTATATTCGGCAAGGAATGATGATGTAATCGGCATGATTGTGTTACGTTATACATACGTGTACATTATATTGTTTTATATTAGCCATTTTTTCCTCAGTTGGCTGACAGCGTTCATGCAAGATGTCTCGAAAGTGTGTAAACAATCCAGATCAGTTTTGTTACGTGTGTGGTGATGTGACTCAGAGACGGTCTATTACTCCACTAATAACAAAGGCATATCAGCTTTATTTCGGTTGTAAACTAGGTGATCAAGACAAACAGTGGGCACCCCACATCTGCTGTAATACATGTGCTTCAAGTCTGAGGAGCTGGTTAAATGGCAAAAAACGGTCTATGCGCTTTGCTGTCCCAATGGTTTGGAGAGAGCCTACAAATCATATTAATGATTGTTACTTTTGCATGGTACCTTGTGTTGGACAAGCCACAGGTATGTCCAAGAAACAAAAATCGGTTATTAACTACCCAAATATACCATCTGCGATGAGACCTGTGCCTCACAGTGACGAAAATCCTATTCCAAAACCCCCAGAATCCTACACTTGCGAATCAGAAAACGAATCAGATCATGGCGATCGAGTGATTCGTCAGGAAGAAGATATGCCATCAACGTCAAGAGATCCTGATTTTATACCGAGCACGTCATGCCACCAACCGCACAAAATAACACAGTCAGAATTAAATGATCTTGTAAGAGATTTAGAACTTCCAAAATGTAAGGCAGAGTTACTTGGATCAAGACTGCAGCAGTGGAACTTGTTAGAAGACGATGTTTCGGTATGTGTTTTTCGTAAACGCCACAAAGACTTAGAACCATTTTTCAATATGGAGAATAACTTGGTTTTCTGCAGTAACATTAACGGCTTACTGGCGGCTTTAAATATAAACTATAACCCAGAAGGATGGCGATTGTTTATAGACAGTTCAATATTGAGTTTAAAGGCAGTGTTATTGCATATTGGAAATATTTTGCCATCTCTTCCTGTAGGGTATGCAGATCACATGAAAGAATCATATGACAATATGAAGTACCTATTGACATGCATAAAATACGATGAGCACCAATGGCATATTTGTGGCGATTTGAAAGTTGTTGCACTTTTACTTGGGCTGCAGCTAGGCTACACAAAGTTTTGCTGTTTTTTGTGTGAATGGGACAGTCGGGCAAAGGCACTTCATTACACCAGGCAAAACTGGCCTGTTCGTCAATTCCTAGAGCCAGGTCAAAAAAATGTACAGCATATGCCATTAGTAGATTCGAAAAAAATTTTATTACCACCACTGCATATCAAGTTGGGCCTAATGAAAAACTTTGTCAAGGCATTAGATAGAGATGGGTCAGCTTTTCAATACCTGCGTCAGAAATTTCCAAGACTAAGTGAGGCAAAGGTTAAAGAAGGTATTTTTGTTGGGCCACAGATTCGAAATATTTTGAAAGATACACAGTTTGAAAACACTTTAACAGGTATTAAAAAAACTGCTTGGAATGATTTCCGTCTGGTGGTCACTAATTTCTTGGGAAATAGAAAAGCTGACAACTATAAAACCCTTGTCAAAAATGTGCTGTCATCGTATCAAAAGATGGGCTTTAATATGTCTGTTAAGATACATTTTCTACACTCACACCTGGACTTTTTTCCTGACAATTGCGGAGCCGTAAGTGATGAGCACAGCGAACGTTTTCATCAGGATATTTCAACAATGGAAAAAAGGTACCAGGGAAAGTGGAACCCTTCCATGCTTGCAGACTACTGTTGGACTCTTGGTAGAGATGCTCCAGAAACGATCCATAAAAGAACAGCAAAAAGATAGCGCATATAGTGATAAGTATATGAATCTTGTTACTTTTTTAATATATCCTTCAAAAAAAAAAGTTTTTTTTCTAAACCGCAACTAGTTTTTTATTTCATTGTCATTTTTGGATTCAGCGCCCCAAAATTAACAAAGAAGTGCACTTTTCCCACAAGATACAATTAAAAAACTAAAATTTGTTGTCCAGTGATATTTTAAAATCGTCACATATTGGCGCATTTTAGACAACTTTTTACATTTTATAGGAATTGCTATGCACTTTGCTTCCATTATAAAAGAATTAACCTGTCCTCCACCTTAAGCTGACCAAAACATCAGAAAGTGACATCAACAAGAACTTTTACGATTTGCAAACGACCCCCCCCCCCCCTCGCTCATCAATTTTCAGTTGTGACATAAATCCTGAGCCCCCTTCCCCGGAAAAATCTCAAATTCATTGCATGGACCCTCCCCCAAAATATTTTCTAAATGATCCCCAGTAAACAAACTTTGTGTGGAGTAAAGGATGGAAACTTAAGGATTGCTTATTATCAGTAGGAAATTAATTATGAACAAAGCTGTTCAAGTTCTATACAGCATGAAATGACTTATTCCAAGCCTTGAACATACGTACACAGAGTGTGGAAAATTATTAATAGGGAATGTTAATAATTATCAATATCATTCGAATTCCTAAAATATTTTATTTTACTACGCCACAGTGATATTAGATAGCTATTTGTATCAATGTACATATATATGTACATCATCATAACATTTTTACATTCTGCGAATTACTTGCAAATAAGGAAAGGATTTATAAAATATAACAAGCCTAGAGGCCACTAATTATCATACAAATGCAATAAAGATTATAATCCAACCATATTATGTAAAATATCGGCAGTAGTAAAAGACTGGCCTCGTCACATTAGCGATAAATTTATAATATAGCGTAAAGAATAATAACTAATTGTTAAGCAAATCTGATGCACCAAAACACTGTTCATAATTTTGATGTTACAATGGAATGTGAACTCGCTCGCACTTTAGTTACACAGTTGAAAGGTTAGAGTAAATTAAATGTCTAATAATTGAGATATTGAGTCCCAATCCAAAAGAAGTAACTTCGATAGTAAACCAATGAACGGAACTTGGGGTTCATATTTCATGAAAATTTAACGTTCCACGATCATGTCACGAAAGTCGTTCTTCCACAAAAAACGAAAATTAGTCATTCTGACTTACTGATTTGGAGATACGGTTTTAGGTTCATACTTGACACAAGCTAATACGTACAATTATTATTATTATTATAATTATTATTATAATTATTATTATTATTATTATTATTATTATCAAAATAAATGACCATTTCTGCTTATCGTTCAAGGAATTGCAGCTAACAGAGAAAACTAATGAAATATTTTTGAATTGACTGCAAACAGCTAGGAAAAAAAGGACCGGTCACTTCAAAAATATTCAAAAATGATATTTTTGGTTGTCTGCTTCTCACGTATTATCCAGGAACAACGTATGCACGTTTCACTCTATATTTAAACTGCGTCATTTGCTAGAGATGCCGGAAAACTATATAAACTTAGACCTGTCGAATCGCATAAAGCAATTTGCAAAATACGTCATACTTACTGTGGTTATAAATCACCATAAAACGTTCGTGCCTACATGTGGGCAGTTTTTTCTGCGTGTAACAATTTTTGAAGCAACTGTGGCCAGGTAGAGCAATAAATCAGTCTACAAAGATCCTGAAATTTCCTATGAAGCAATTTTGAATTAACAAACCGGTATATGATGGACGATTAATAACTGCGTCGCATTGATCCTTGACGGCGTTTGAAAAAACTAGGCGGATTTCGATTTTTACTAAAAGTTATATCTTTTTTCATTTCCTTCTAATTATACTAAGTGACATATAAATCCGAACACCCAGTTTAAATGGTTTTATTTTAATAAAAGTTGGTGAATGTATTTATCTTACTGTAAATAACAAGTGAAAAAATTTTCAGCCTTATCAGTTGGACATTCCGGTTTTTATACTGCTTTTTTTTAATTCACTAACGCTCTAAAAATGAATATTTCAGCCGCAGTAAAGAATCAACGTTGGCGGATTTTGGTTCTTGACATCCTTTACGATCGGTTACGATGCCTAGAGTACGAAGACCTGTACGATTTCGTCAACTTAGTGAGTTTGATACGGGCCATATAGTGGGACTTCGGGAAGCTGGACTTTCTTTTCGGGCAATTGCAGTTAGAGTGCAAAGAAGTGTAGACACTGTGGTTAGATGTTGTCAGGCATGGCTTCGAGAAGGCCGTACGCAAAGAGCAAGGGGCACTGGACGCCGCCGTAGAACAACAGACCGTGAAGATCGCCGCCTAAGATCATTGGCCTTAAGGGACCGCTTCTCCACTACCAGGTCCATTGCAAATGAATGGTTTGCAGAACACGGAAGACCTATTGGCATGCGAAGTGTTTACCGACGAAT